GGGCCATTCACAGCAGCCTTGTACCATGTGACAAGCTGTGTCCAAACACAGCTCACACAGCATATCTCAATAGCTGCAAGAATGCAGCCAGAGAGAAGGAGAAATGATTGATTTTACAGCTTTTATGGGTGTAAAAGCAATCAGTGTAAAAAAAAAAAATAAATCTTCATCACTCCCCACAAGTAGTACAGTGTCACCATGGTGACAGCGTACTGCTAGGGTGACAGTAATGTAAATAAAAAAAATAAAATAAAAATATAACCAAAAATTATAAATTTAAAATTTTTTTTTTTTTTTACAAACTAATTTGTTTTTTTTTTACTAAAAAGATAACGGAATACATTCTGGCCAAGATTTATGATGAAATATTATTTGCAAAATTTTATAAGAAAAACACTTTTTCAAAATTTTTGGACTTTTTTCATTTATATAACAAAAAAAAATAAAAATCCCAGCAGTGAATAAATACCACCAAATAAAGCTTTATCGGTCTCAAAAAAATGCTAAAAAATTCATATGGGTACAGTGTTGCATGACCGCGCAATTTTCATTCAAAGTGTGATAGCGCTGAAAGCTGAAAATTGGCCTGGACTGGAAGGGGGGAGGCGTCCCGACTGGAAGGGGGGGGGGGGGGGGAGCGTCCGGACTGGAAGGGGGGTGAAAGCGTCCGGACTGGAAGGGGGGTGAAAGCGTCCGGACTGGAAGGGGGGTGAAAGCGTCCGGACTGGAAGGGGGGTGAAAGCGTCCGGACTGGAAGGGGGGTGAAAGCGTCCGGACTGGAAGGGGGGTGAAAGCGTCCGGACTGGAAGACTGGAAGGGGGGTGAAAGCGTCCGGACTGGAAGAGGGGGTGAAAGCGTCCGGACTGGAAGGGGGGTGAAAGCGTCCGGACTGGAAGGGGGGGGGGGGGGGGGGGGTTGCGGGGAGTGTCAGGACTGGAAGGGGGGAGAAGTGTCAGGACTGGAAGGGGGGAGAAGTGTCAGGACTGGAAGGGGCGGAAAGCGTCTGGACTGGAAGGGGGTAACTGCGGTACAGAAAAGTCAGGTCAGGGGCCTGGCTGTACTCCCTCGTCAGGGCTGTGTAAATCTCAGCGATTTGGTGGCAGAAATGTCTTCTATATACAAGTTTCAGCCCTGGGATTAGCCTGGAGCCAACAGTCTGGAAATGGTTCGGTGGTCTTTCCAGAACTAAAAACACTGTAAGTACGATGGTGATTTTTCCATGCCGCGCTGCACTGCAGCCAACCTCAGCGAGGCACAATCTGTCCGCCGAAATCATTTGTTTTCCTGTAACTCGCTGAAGAGAAAACCATGTTTATATTTAGCTGTAAGTTTGGAGGGGGCGACTTCAGAATCTCAGAATCGCAGCCTGTGAGAGCCCCAGGAAAAGGGGCCAACTCGTGAAAAAAAAAAAAAAAAAAGGTCTGATTTGCATAAACTCACCGATGTGAAACTTGTGAGGGTGTCACAATCCTCCCCTTCTGGCTCCAACTCACCCTGTTAAATTTCATGCAGACATGAAGAGGAAGTGTGACCTCAGCGCTCGTTTCTGCTGAATAAAAAGATGACTTCTCTAAAGAGGGCAGAGAGATGCACTTCGCAGGAACAGAATGACAGAACCATCCGAGCTTTTCATTGCAAAAGTCAAATGACTCACTGCACCCAGAAACAGATTTAGAAGAAAAAGAAAAAACACAACTTGTAAGACCGGGGATGACAGCATGGCCAGGACTTCCTCTTCTGTGAACAGCATTGTGAAACCGTCCCGGCGCTATCACACATGGGGCGCTGCCAGCTGATAAAGTCACACACCTTAGGTCTGCAGTGAATGATCCAAAAAGCCACTCAGCTGTATTCTGAAACACATCCGACTTATTGTAACGTGTAAGAACAGTCCAACACAGTAATAGGGCATTGTGGGTACAGAGGGAAAGTCAATGCGTTTTGCACTTACTCATGACATGGTCAACGTGTTTCGTGTTATCGCGGAACTTACTCATGACATGGTCAACGTGTTTCGTGCTATCGCGGAACTTACTCATGACATGGTCATCGTGTTTCGTGCTATCAGTACTTACTCATGACATGGTCATCGTGTTTCGTGCTATCAGTACTTACTCATGACATGGTCATCGTGTTTCGTGCTATCAGTACTTACTCATGACATGGTCATCGTGTTTCGTGCCATTAGTACTTACTCATGACATGGTCAACGTGTTTCATGCCATTAGTACTCATGACATGGTCAACGTGTTTCATGCCATTAGTACTCATGACATGGTCAACATGTTTCGTGCTAATAGTACCTACTCGTGACATGGTCAATGCATTTCATGCTATCAGTACTTACTCATGACATGGTCAGCGTGTTTCGTGTTATCGCGTAACTTACTCATGACATGGTCAGCGTGTTTCGTGTTATCGCGTAACTTACTCATGACATGGTCAACGTGTTTCGTGCTATCAGTACTTACTCATGACAGGGTCAACGTGTTTCATGCCATTAGTACTCATGACATGGTCAACGTGTTTCGTGTTATCGCGGAACTTACTCATGACATGGTCAACGTGTTTCGTGTTATCGCGGAACTTACTCATGACATGGTCAACCTGTTTCGTGCTATCAGTACTTACTCATGACATGGTCAACCTGTTTCGTGCTATCAGTACTTACTCATGACATGGTCAATGCGTTTCATGCCATTAGTACTTATGACATGGTCAGCGTGTTTCCTGCTATCAGTACTTACTCATGACATGAACAACACATTTCATGATATTAGTACTTACTTGTGACATGGTCAATGCATTTCATGCTATCAGTACTTACTCATGACATGGTCAGCGTGTTTCGTGCTATCAGTACTTACTCAGGACATGGTCAGCGTGTTTCCTGCTATCAGTACTTACTCATGACATGGTCAACATGTTTCGTGCTATCAATACTTACTCGTGACATGTTCAATGCGTTTCTTGCTAATAGTAGCTACTCGTGACATGGTCAACGCGTTTCGTGCTATCAGTACTTACTCGTGACAGAGTACAAAACGAGTTGACCATCTGTACTTACTCATGACATTGTCAACGCGTTTCATGCTATCAGTATTTACTCATAACATGGTCAGATGGTAGCACATACTCAATAGAGGGAGGGAGAAGAAGTGAGTGATGTCATGTCTACAAAAATCGAATAAAATAAAGAGCCTCAATGAGATAATGATGCCATTGATGGGCCAATACAATATATTAAGAACAAAGGGTATGTAAACATTTGAAACTGACATTTTTTTCAGTGATTGTGATGTGAAGTCATGCCTACTGGTTTAAAAAAAAAAAAAAAAAACGCGTTTTGTCTGATCATGTAATTTTTCCTAAATATTGGTCCATTTCTTAGGGTTTGGGGTATATAACCGCTTAGGCCCAACCAGGGGCGGACTGACAACTCATGGGGCCCCCAGGCAATAGGGGATCATGGGGTCCCTGTGTCCTTGCCCAAAATCAAAAAAGCCTATGAAAAAGGTACCAGGGGCATCTCATGGGGCCCCCTACAGACCCCGGGCAGTGCCCGAGTTTCCAAATGGTCAGTCCGCCCCCGGGCCCAACTGTATATCTGGGGAAATACTAAAGATTCCCTAAAGGATAAGTTGCCATCTTCATGCCCCGCAAGACGTCAACTGTAGTGCTATGTGAGTTCATCGCGTTACAGGAAGTGACCCCGGAATTGCGAATTGGCTGATTTTCGACAGCTCTGTGATACTTCTATCTAATGTCAGTGCAATGTATATGTTGTAATAAATTTAAATATCAGATTTTACACTATGTAGAGCGCTGGTCTCCTTTTCTTTTCCTTGAATACTAAAATTATGGGATCGTGGACTTGAGGACCTTTTCTGGCGGTGTTCCCTTTTGGCTGCTTTCCTGAATACAGTTCAAGTCCTGCCTACGTATTATTGAAATTGTGACATCATGCCTAATACTTCTCTAGAAATTGAGACATATCACTCTGGTAAGCCTCTGCTGTGTTTCCTTGGTGGTGAAGACTTTTTGGAGTGGGATGCATATTTTCTACATGAAATTGGACTTTGATTTTATTTCAATTTTGAGTTTCATTTCTGAGTTTCCCCCCCCCCCCCCCCCCCCCCACACTTGAGCTTACTGATATTATAGGTTACGTGAGACAGACTGTCAGGGATCCCGGGCGCTCGGCGGTGCGCGCATGCGCAGATTGCCAATCCGTCCGAGCCGGCGAGCACAGAGTCCTCAGCGATCGCGGCCGCACCAATGGGAGAACAGGGCGCTCTATTTAAACCTGCCCTGTGCATCTCCAAGTTGCCGCAAGGTCTTGTTCCTGTAAGTACGTTTCCTTGCCAAACTCTGCCTGTTCTGATTTATGCTGACCCTCTCCTGCTCTGACCCCGGCTCGTCCCTGACCATTCTTCTGCCTGTAGTTTCTGTTATTTTGGACCCCCTGTTACTGAACCCGGCGTGTGACCTGATTACTCTTTGCCTGCTGCTTGGTACCGCACCTGTCCCCACTGTTACCAACCCGGCTAGTCTGACCTCGCTCACTCCTAGCAGTCATCCATCCATCCCGCTCGGATCGGGACCTGTCATCCCCTTCACAGCAGGCTCATCCCGGGCACACACCCTCAGCGGGACCCCTCTACCACCGCCGGGGGTGCCCAGGGGCGCGACCTGGTTCCAGTCTTGCACCAAGTCCATCCCCACCATCAGGGGCTCTGGTGAAAAGGCAGACTGGGACTTAGACTCCGCGTCCTGGGAAACCCCGTGCTGTGGACCAATAGAGATCCCGTTGGGCGGAGCCTGACACAGACATTGGATGTAATTGTGATATTGGTGACCGATTAAGCGCAGCACATCTTGGTATACTCAACATAGTATAGTTAGGAATGTTGCAAAAAACCTTCTCTGGATATAAACAAAACCCGGCACATTGATCACCTAATTGTATAAAAACACAGAATAATTCACTTACCAGAGCGTCAGAAGAAATTCTTTATTAGAGGAGTCACCAGTTTCACCCACAGCTTGACATAGCGGCTCGGGTGCCGGAAAGTGGAAGGAGTCACTTCACTTGATCGCTCGTACAGGCTTTGCTGCTCCTGAAACACAGAAGGAAATTGTCTTTAGAACCATCCAAAACAGCCTGCAGGAGGGATAGAAAACAGGGAATTAAGTCAGGACTGGTCATCTGGCCATTAGTAGAAGGGCTGAAGAGCCTCAAAGTAAGACATGGCATTTAGGGGTCCTGATTTAAAAACGGCTATAGGTTTTTTTTATAGCTTTCTTTTTAGATATAAAAGTAAAAGATGAGCTGGAAATAAACCTTCATATCTTTTTATTTATGGTTTACTAACCGTGTGTAGTTGGCTAGAAGTTTGTGGACATCTGACCATCACATCTATACAATCTTTGCATTCAAAAACCATGTCCATTAATTCAGACTTTTGCCCCATCCCCTCCCTTTACCCCCATGGCCATTACTATGGATTTCCCCCACCCAATGGCCATTATTTATGGAGCTGCCCCCTTTCGTGCCTACTCTGTTCCGAGAAGACTTTCCACAAGATTTTGGAGGGTGTCCATGGAATTTGTGCCCATTTGTGAGGTCAGGTACTGATGTTGGCTGAGAAGACCTGGCTCACTATCGGGGGTTCCAATTCATCTGAAAAGGTGTTCAGTAGAATTGAGGTCTGGACACTCAAATGTCCTCCACACCCAACTGGTCAAACCATGTCTTTATAGACTTGGACCACCTTTGTGGCTTTAATGTCCTCCACTCTTCTGGGACAGCTTTCACCAAGATTTTGGAGTGTCTGTGGGAATTTGTGCCCTTTTGTGAGTCAGGTATTGATGTTGGATGAGAAGACCCACTTCGTACTGTGTTCCAATTTACCCCAAAAGTGCTTAGTAGGGTTAAGGTTGAGTTTCTCCACACCAAGCTGGTCAAACAAGGTCTTTGTGGAGCTGGCTTTGTACACAGGCATAGTCATGGGGGAACAGAAAAGGGTCTTCACCAAACTGTTACCACAAGGTTGGAGGAGAACAATTGTCTACAAATTGACTTTGTATGATGGAGTATTGACAGGACCCTTCCCCGGAGACACCTGAGTAAAATATTTGACAATTATGTATGCAGGCTCTGCTTCCTGGCTTTGCCGATTCAGCTGACAGTGGGCTAAAGCCTGCTGTCAGCTGACAGAGAGCCAGTCCAGGCTCTACAGGGATCCTGACAATGAAGAGTCCCACCCAGATGCCTGATCGGCACCTTGCTCAACCTTTCAGTGTGCTGCAGATAGGCTGAGCCAGCGGCTCTCACCCCCTTCACAGCCCAGCGCTCCAGTGAGCACTGGAGGGGCAGAGCAAAGATCCAGTGACTGTCAGTCACCGCTCTCTGCTCACTAAAGAACAAGAACCGAGCGATCAGTAGTCATGTGATCACTTCAGTTTTAGTCTGAGAGCTGGCGGGGGACAGCTGCAGCATCGGATTGATGCTGCAACCATCTAGGGAAGTATGAATGTTTGTCCCCCCCCCCCCCCCTCCACACACATCTTTTAATTAACAGCATTACAAGAGTCAAACCGTGAACATTACTTGCAGCCTAGTCAGTATTTTTCCTGTACTGAGACTGAAAAAAGTGATAATTAAACATTACAGCTCCACTGGACCTAGCAAGATTCGTCAATACGCTTTTATTCTTATTCCCAGTTCAGTACTGATATCATAAATACAGGTACAAGAAATAGACACTCCAATTAAAAAAAAATGTTTTGAAGCAGTTATAATAGCCATTGTCTTCTTGCACAACGATCTCTTTTTATGTGCAGCTGGTTCTTGATTCTGTCAGGGGACTCCCATATGTTCAGGCTACAATTATCTGTGAAATGCACTTACTGCAGGGAGTTTCAGCTCTGCCTCCGGGGTCTTTACTCTCAGCCTGACCTTTGCTAAACACCAGCCCCTCCAAGTTGAAGTAAAACCCATGAAATCGCTCTGCAACAGAAACTAGAGCAAATACACCTTGATCTAGAAGATGAGGCTACCTGGAGATCTGCTCATCCCTGGAGTGAAACACTAACTTGTATCTCCTGGAAACCACCTCCTGCACTAAAGCGTCTGAGATACAAGCTGTCCAAAGACTAACAGATGTCCTCCCAACATTGGAAAGTGGAGGCGCACTCTCATGCTAATAAAAGATTTCTGAGGACGCAGAGGCCTTGGAGCTCCAGGCCTTGTGGTTGGGCTGGAAGCCAGTCGTAAGGTTTGACTCGGAGGTTACACGAGTGAATTGATGAAGAGGACTGTTCTTAGCCTCCAGTTCTTAGCCTCCATCAAGGAATTGGCCTTCCCAGACTGTGCTTTAGTTATTTCTTGGCTGAGGCAGATAAATGCTCTTGCCACCTGATAATGGCATGCAAGGTAGATCCAAAACAGACATTTGGTCTTTGAAGGCCAAGCAGAGGCAAATCAGTGTCACAGCTAAGACAGGATAAAGAGCAATACCTTTTCGTAATTGCCTGTCAGTGGGGTCTTTAATGACAGATGTGTCTTCCAACAAAATGGTGGTTACTCTATTAACCACCTCCCATCTGGCTGTTGTATATAAACAGCCGGACGGTGGCAGTGCAGGGTCAGGTGGCCGTTTATAAACAGCCTCCCCGCACCCTGCTTGTGCGCGCTCTCTGGGAGCGCGCAGCACCGCGATCTGGTGCCTGCTGTTTCCTCTGGACGCAGTGGAACACCGATTGTCAGACAGGACCTCTCTGCGAGGTCCGGATCATGTGATTACCGAGTGGCCAATCAGTGATCACATGCAGAGTAGTAAGCAAGATGTCACTTGTGACATCATTGCTTACTACGTGTAAAATCTGTGAATGATCACAGAGATCACATGGTACAGGGCTATTCACAACAGCTTTGTACCATGTGACAAGCTGAGACCAATCACAGCTCACTCAGTAGTTCTCAATGGCTGTAGGAATGCAGCCAGAGAGAAGGAGAAATTATTGCTTTTACAGCCTTTATGGGTGTAAAAGCAACCAGTGTAAAAAAAAAAAAAATCTTCATCACCCCCCACAAGTAGTACAGTGTCACCATGGTGACACTGTACTGCTAGGGTGACAGTATGTAAAAAACAAAACAAAAACAAATATAAAAAAATAAAAAAAATTTAAGAAAAAATGTTTACAAACTATAATTTTTGGTTATAAACTAATTTGGGCTATTTATTTTTTTTTACTAAAAAGATATTTTGGCCAGGATTTATGATAAAATATTATTTATTTGCAAAATTTTATAAGAAAAAACACTTTTCAACATTTTTGGACTTTTTCATTTACAAAGCCAAAAAAATATCCCAGTGGTGAATACATACCACCAAAATAAAGCGTTATCTGTCTCAAACAAATGCTAAAAAATTAATATGAGTACAGTGTTGCATGTCCGCGCAATTGTCATTCAAAGTGTGACAGCGCTGAAAGCTGAAAATTGGCCTGGACTGGAAGGGGGGGAAAGTGTCCGGACTGGAAAGGGGGGGAAAAGTGTCCAGACTGGAAAGGGGGGGGAAAAGTGTCCGGACTGGAAAGGGGGGGAAAAGTGTCCGGACTGGAAGGGGGGGGGAAAAGTGTCCGGACTGGAAGGGGGGGGGAAAGTGTCCGGACTGGAAGGGGGGGGGAAAGTGTCCGGACTGGAAGGGGGGGGGAAAGTGTCCGGACTGGAAGGGGGGGAAAAGTGTCCAGACTGGAAGGGGGGGGGGGAAAAGTGTCCGGACTGGAAGGGGGGGAAAGTGTCCAGACTGGAAGGGGGGGAAAGTGTCCAGACTGGAAGGGGGGGAAAGTGTCCAGACTGGAAGGGGGGGAAAGTGTCCAGACTGGAAGGGGGGGAAAGTGTCCAGACTGGAAGGGGGGGAAAGTGTCCAGACTGGAAGGGGGGGAAAGTGTCCAGACTGGAAGGGGGGGAAAGTGTCCGGACTGGAAGGGGGGAAAGTGTCCGGACTGGAAGGGGGGGAAAGTGTCCAGACTGGAAGGGGGGGAAAGTGTCCAGACTGGAAGGGGGGGAAAGGTGTCCGGACTGGAAGGGGGGGAAAGGTGTCCGGACTGGAAGGGGGGGAAGTGTCCGGACTGGAAGGGGTGGGGGGGGGGAGTGTCCGGACTGGAAGGGGTGGGGGGGGGGAGTGTCCGGACTGGAAGGGGGGGGGAGGAGTGTCCGGACTGGAAGGGGGGGGGGGGGGAGTGTCCGGACTGGAAGGGGGGGGGGAAGTGTCCGGACTGGAAGGGGGGGGGAGGAAGTGTCCGGACTGGAAGGGGGGGGGGAGGAAGTGTCCGGACTGGAAGGGGGGGGGAGGAAGTGTCCGGACTGGAAGGGGGGGGGGAGGAAGTGTCCGGACTGGAAGGGGGGGGGGGGGGGGGAGGAAAGTGTCCAGACTGGAGGGGGGGGGGGGGGGGGGGGGGGAAGTGTCCGGACTGGAAGGGGTTAAGGAGAGACACTGCCGGATCCACAGTGTGGTAAAACAACTGTTTAACAAAGTCCTCTTCAAACAGATTCAAGGCCAAAGAGCATTGAAGGGGAGAAAAATTCTTAATCCAATCTCCAGAGAGGAAAACTTGGAACAGCCGGTGCACCAGAAAAGTCTTGGAGGCCTCAAAGTGGAACTAAACCCTTCTATCCTTTACAGCCAAGGAAGATGTCATCTTAGCCTGTTTGATGTGAAGTTGGCATGGTGCTGCACATGAGATCAGTTCTGCTACCAACAATTTGATGGCTTGGCAGTTGGGTTGATAGCACAAGCATCTTCGAGAGTTATCCATGGCATGCTTTGAACGCAACTTGGGTTTAGTTCTGACACGAAATAGTGCAAGTAGAAGCAGCCTTTAGTTTTAAAGTGGTGGCACCACATCAGTGAGAGCCACAACGGTCTCTTTCACTTTGAGAATAATAACAGTTCCTACTGCATGAGCTGCCTCCAAGGAGTCCAGTCTTCTGAGAAGACTTTCAGCAGCTGATGGCTTAGAGGCAGCTGGCAGATCAGATGCAGAGTCTGCAGGGGAAGGTGGAGGAGCGTGCTTGTGGACTCTACGATTAGAGTCAACTAATTACCAAGTG